CTCGCCACGACGCGCCACGGGTTGCGGGAATGAGCCGAGCCGATGTCTAAATTTTTGCCACACACGATGGATATACGAAAGGTCACGCGGAAGCTGAAACGTTTTGCTGTAATGGAAATTGAATACGAACGACAAACCTCTTCGCCTGTTGCCTGTTCGTTTCGTCTCCCTCGTTCCCTTCAGCTCCCGACGCAGCCTCTCGCCTCCTTCTCTTGCGCCTATCCTCTCAGAGAGATACACCAGAAGATCCTCTTCCTCTCGCCACAAAGTTCTTGAGCATTGCGCTGCTGCTACGATCTTTCCCATCCCAAGTTGCGGCGTGCACCGCAGGTCGGGACAGTAGGCCTCCGAAACCGCACCTTTTGAGCCCTGTACGGGAGAAGGGTGATAAGGTTTTTGGGGAGCGCTCAGCGCGACTACTAACTTCTTCGTCACGGACGCCCCAGACTCCGACGATTACTTCCCCGACGACGACTTCTTCCCCGACGTCGACAACCTCCTCGATGACATGGCTGGCGAGGACACCGACCCCAAGTACAGCGCTTCTGCTGCTGCCGTCCCATACGTGTTCTTCCTCTTTCTATTAGAGGCCCTACTACAGTTCCTTGTTCTAGTGTTTGCCCTAAATATGTTAGACTCTGTTTCATATATGCAACTTGCTATACTTCTGCTCTAGATGTGTTCGGTTCTAGTTCATATATGAAGATGTTGTTTACCATCTCTTTGTCAAATTGCATGACCTATTTTATCACTGCTATACTAGTCGTGCTTTATCTAGTATTTCTGTTAATAAAATCATTCGGTAAATTGCTCATATTTCCAACACTAGCCCCTTTAGTCTGTGCCAAGAATGCATGTGGCAGGGGATGGGGATAGGCACTGCTGGTCCGCGACCTCAGGCCCCCGCGCCATCAATTTGCCACACCCGTCACCGACGGCCGTGTCATCGGTGCGCCGCCCCCGCACCGGCTAGCGGCAACTGAGACCACAACCACCGGACGCGGATCCGCTGCAGGGGGCTCGTCCGCCTAAGGTGATGGCCCGGCAACTCCACCAGGGCTCCCCGTACCATGGCCATGGCCTTACTGGCGGCGCTGGCCGCGGCGAGGTGCGCCTCGCCCCGCAGCGTCGCGGTCTCCTCCTCCGTCTCCACTCGCGCCGCCCCTCTTCCTCCCCGTCCCTCTCCTCCTATGCCCCTCTCCCTACCCATCCCTGCCCCGCCCCTCTTCTCCTCATCCAGCCTCCGCTTCACGGAGCCCAGCCACCGGACCACCGCGGACAGCGAGGAGCGGCACGGGCGTGGGGGGCGAATCAGGGACGCAATCGTGGCCCTTATCCACAACCGCAAACATGGTCTTTTTTTCCAAAAACGTTTTCTCAGATCCACTTATAGAGGGACTGCGGGCTGCATTACCAAATACTGTAGGGACTTCTTTTTGCAAAAGTGCCGCGACGGTGGGTGAGCGGGCAGAAGCACTAATACGGGAAAGCTTAATTTATTAATCAAAGGACGGATATATCATCTGCCAGCAGACTCATAATGAAATCAGGCGGAGCATCAATCCAACGAGATGGATTATTAGCATGTCCCCATCTAGTCAGCTCATGAGCTACATAATTTGACTCTCTAATACAATGCTTAATAGTAAACAGAATAACCTTCATTGAATCTAAGAAGCACTAATCACTTTATTATTTGGGAAAGATACGTAGGAAGAAGAAAATTGTGTTTTCCTCGTTGGTGGTACTACTCCACGTCGGTTACGTTGTTTGGCGTTAGACGCGCGGTGCGGGCGCGACAATGGAATCAAAGGGACGCATCATGAATTCATAATCGAATCGATCGAAGGGACACATTTTTGTTTTCAAGCCGATTGCGCAAGGAGCATCCAAGCAGCTCCTTGAGTTTGCGCAACGACCGGATTAGTAGGCCACACCTCAATGGAGCGCCGTGAACGTGCCCTTCTTGTTTCAAAGGGTCACCGACAAGAGCCGTGAATGTTCCAGGTCCTCCCCGGTGAGGAATGCGGCGGCCGTGAACTCCATCTGCCACCTCCAATGCCTCCTGATGGACCCGGATGTCGCGTCTACATCTCTCCCCATGCCCATCGACGTCGTGCTCGGATGGATCGCATCCATGCAGCCCAGGGTTTTCACAATCGTGGAGCAAGAGACGGACCACAATAAGCCGGGGCTGCTGACGCGGTTCAACAATGCCATGTTCAACAATGACGCGGTTCAACTACTCTGGCAATATCGCTCATTTGTGGGTTGACCCTATCAGTTCTCACCCTCCTCTTTGTGATATGTATCCAGAACTCTTTAGCATTACCAATTATCCGGACGATACTATAGCCTAGTTTAAGACTCGGCTGGTGGGGGCATGTTCAGGCGCAGGTTGAACGCTGACCTGACTCACCAGCTAGAGGGGGTGCAGGGGGGTGTTGACGCTGTCACGCCCTCTGATGAGTGTGATGGTTTTGAATGGGGCTTTGGTCCCAAATGCAGATAACTACCAAATCAGTGTATTCTTACTTAGAGAAGAATCTTGCTGGGTGCGACTACAGGTGGATTTGGAAAGCCAAACTACCTGTTAAAATCCAGATTTTTCTTTGTTAAAATCCAGATTTTTCTTTGGCAGTTATTTCAAGATGTTGTTCTCACTAGGGATGTGATGAAACATCGAAATTGGGCTGGCAACCCATGATGTTCCTACTGCAACTGCAGAGAATCTTACTTGCACCTGTTTTTCCTTTGCCCTGTTGCAAGGGTAGTTTGGCGCACAGTTGGTGCGATGCTTGGTACTGATTTATGCCCCCAACAACTTATGTCAGTTTTACTCTTGGTGCTACCCCTTTCTTCCTCATGGAGAGAGGCACTTTTTTGTGGGGTTAGCTGCTATCTGTTGGGCCATCTGGAACCGCAAAAATCAGGCCAATTTTGAATTCAAGAAATTGTCATCTACTTTTGAGATTGTCTTCACTGCTTGTACACATTTATCCTACTAGGCACAGTGGCAAAGCCACACTTGAGCTGAGTAGTCAATTGACTATGTAGCTTTTTACAAAAACAACATACATCAAGTAGAAATCAGGCCAGAAAATCTTATGAATGCATACATCTGACTACCGAACATTCAGTTAACCACACATATTAGGATTCCTGGCACCGCCACTGACTAGGCAGGTCTGCTGAAGGGCGAAGAGCGAACAGAGCTAGAGCATGGCGCGTTGCTTCTGAAGAGGAATGCTAAGGAGATGATGAGCCTTTGCGCATCTGCGCACGCAGGAACCACCCGGGGATGATCATGGCGCTGTGTCCCTTGAAGTCCCTCCTTTGAAGCTGGTCGAACTTGCTTTCAGGTCATGTAGTGTTTGCCTGTCGTCTTGTTATTCTAGTGCTTTTGTTGTTCTGCCTCTGCGTAGGCTGAGGTGTAGTCTTAAGACTTCAGTTATTTTTGTGGTGAGATGATAGTGCTTCAGGGTTTTCGCCTTGTAGTAGCCGTTTCGATTGCGAACGGCTACATCGGGTTTCCCTGGAGTGCTTGAACTCGCTCTTTCGCTTTCCATGTTTGACTATTCTTAGACATGGCTGTATTTCCGTTATTTCTATAATGGAAAGGGGATTAGCCCGGTTCAAAAAAATGTCTGTGAGCCGTAGCGGCGCCATCGGCAAAGCTGACGCAGATGCGTACGTGCAAAGGGAGATCTTCGTCATCGTATGCGGCGAGGGCAGCGCTCGCCTCTGGCGCATGGGTCTCACTCACATACCCATTCACGGCGTCTGTGTGGAGCCGCTGGAGCGCAATGCCCGCCGAGGGCGTCGACACTGCCAAGGAGCACGCTGACAAATACAAGCTGAAGATGAGCATCGGCGAGAGCAGCGGCGGCCACCTGCCGGACGAAGGGGGAATGCCCGCGTAGTGAAAGAGCGCGACATGCATTGCATGGTGGTTTGAATAATTGTTCAGAGCCGTCGAAGACAGATTGTCAATCGAGTTTAGTTTATCAGTTAGCCCAAGCTTATGCTGCAGTCAATCGTCATTCAATTAAACTACTCCTTCTGTCCGACTAGCACGCGCTCTGGCGACTGCCATGGCGACTCGTTGACCGATGGAGCGCGGCGAGGCAGCGCCGGCGGCAGGCCGGGAGCCGAGCCTGGGGGCGAGCAGTGAGGGATGGGGAGTGGGTGGCCTCTCTGTTGTGGAGTGGAGCACCTTCAAACGGCGGGGAAAATACATCCTACGCCGGGCGAGAGATCCGGAAGGCTGTCTGCGGCGCTTTCGGATCAAAGCAGTTGGCTTCTTCAAATTGGATCCATCTGGTACTAATTCAAAGGGAGCAGGGGCGCAGATCGAGGCCCCTGATTTCGCCAGGAAGAATCACACCATGGTGAGTTATGGAGAGTTTAATGGAGCAGTTTCTGATAGATTAATTTGCAATTCTTCTATGGATGGGACGGGGATTCTAGTGGGGTAAATCCCAACGGTTATAGCGTTGATTCTAGGGAGAAATTTGAGGAAGATGAGATGTATTTGAGGGGAGGATCTCAAGGATCGCAGCACAAAGTGTGTTCTTCCTCTGTTGTTTCTACGCCTTTGCTCTGTTGTTTGCGTGTGACACATGAACTGATGGCAAATCAAAGTGAAGCTGAGATGGACTTGGACGGGGGAGTCGAGGGATCGGGCACCAGTGAGGGTGCGCTTGCTGTGTCCCCGACGGTCGTCCAGGCCGGCGTGGAGGTCGCCAACGGCGTGGCTCCATCACCCCCGGCGCCGAGTGGTGGGGCCATCGGGGAGATGCAGATATCCCCGGTTCAGGACATGGTAAAGGCCAAGGTGGGAGGCCCAGCGGGGCTGGCGCTCACCGTGACCCCAAAGGCTTCATTCGGTTTCGCTGCTGCGACGGCGCCTCCTCAACTATGCAGGAAGGGGAAGAACAAAGGCAGCCTCGAGCTCGAGTACGCACTCCAAGCCGATCGTCATCAACCTGGAGGCGGCAATGCGGGCGGTCACGGGGAAGATGGTGGTGGGCCGGGTGCTCTCGCCGTACCTGGTCGATCCCACGCTGGTCGTCAACGAGCTCAGAGGACCATGGCGGCTCCGAGGCAAAGCCGTGGCGCAGCGCGTCACCAGCGAAGACCGTCGCTTCGTCATCACCTTTAAGGAGGAGGGTGATCGGCGTCATGTGCTGCAAGCTGGACCATGGCATTTCAGAGACGATGACGTTGTTCTAGCGGCTTTCGAAGGGAAGGGCGACCCAGCAGACGTACCCCTCGTCTCCATCAACATCTGGGCTCAAATATGGGGGCTACCGGTGCCGATCAAAACAGTGGAGATGGGCTACCTGCTGGGTGGCAAACTCGGCAAGGTCGTGACGGTGTCGCAAGTGAATAAGATGATCGTCGACGAGCACTTGCGTGTTCGGGTTGTGCACCGCCTCGACGAGCCTCTGAGGAAGTTCATCGACACCATTGTGACGATGTCGAATGGCAAGACAAATGAGTCCATCTACTACGTCAAGTATGAAAACCTTCCTAACTTCTGTTTCTGTTGTGGCATTCTGGGGCACACCACGGCTACTTTCTGCAACATCCCAAAAGAGCTCCGACAGCCTTCGTACACCACCGACATCAAGGCGCCGGCGTTCTGGAAGAACTCGCAGACGGCGGCTGGGTCGGGCCACCACCAGCGTGGGGGCTTGGTAAAGCTTCCCGAATTTGCCATGGCTGGGGCGTAACAGCCCGTCCACGGCTGCCAGGTGGGCGGCCATGGGCTAGGGTCAGGGGCCGCCCAGGAGGGGGGGGGGGCTTCTCTAACTGGGCTATGCACCGAGCACGGCCGGGACGTCGATGACAGCGGCAAGGTGCTGCCAACGGTGTCAGCTGGCCAGGAGGGTCAGCTGGCTCTACTGGAATCCGATAATGGAGTGCAGCCGGTCGTGGCTACTGTTGCTGTTGCTCTGAAGGGACTGATCAGAGCTGAAGATGGGCAAGATCAAGGCCCGATTGATGGTGTTGGACACATGAAAGGTCCGGCAACTGAAGGTGGCAGTGTGGCCGGGTCTGTTGATGCATGCTTCATATCGTCTCTCTAACCCCGTGGGGGAGGGAGTGACTGCTCAACCTGGAGCCGGCGCTCGGCTGGGCACCAAGGTGGACGTGGTGGCCGGGGGTGGCAAACAGGGCCTGGCTGCCTCTGGTGGCTCGGCGAATTTGGCGCGCTGGAGAAGGCTTCACAGAGAGGAGCAGGAGGAATGGGCCATCGTTCAAGCGGCGTGTGTGAAGCACGTACAGTTTGGGGTCCCAACCCCTCCGAACAGTGGCAGCGACCTGTCCGGTCGCAAGGCCGCTTTTGCTGATATTTTGGAGAGCTCGACGGGCAACAAGTTAAAGATGTTTGGAAGACCAAGACCTTGTTCTTAGTTTTGATAGTATTAGTGCTGAGAGCTTTGAGTGTAGGGGAGCCGGTGTGGTTCTTCCAGCTTGTAAGAAGGTGTGTGGGGAGAGAGTGGAGGCTCAGGTAGTTATAGATGGGAATATGATTCATGTAACAAAAGAGGTAGATGGGGGAGAGGAGGAAGTTCGGGGTAAGAGGAGAGAGTCTGTGGGGGAAGGAAAAGAGGATGGGGTGTCTGCAAAGGTAGCAACCAACCCGAGGGCTGTCGGTCAACTGACGGGCACGTCTGATGTTGCCCGTCAGGAGCCATGAAAATGCTTAGCTAGAACTGTCAGGGGCTGGGTCGGCCTCGCTCAGTTCAAGAATGGTCTATCTAAATAAATCTTACCGACCCAATATTATCTTTCTTTCTAAAACAAGGCAAAATAAAGAATATGTTGAGAGGTTGAGGTATAGGTTGGGCATGAAAAATATGTTTACTGTTTCAATTAAAGGTAAAGGTGGTGGCTTAGCTGTATTTTGGGATGAGTGTTTTACTATGGAGTTAAACAAATTTGGTGAGCATTTTATTGACATGTATATCTCAAATAGTGATGGTTCAAAATGGAGATGCACTTTTGTTTATGGAGAACCGAAGGCAAGTCAAAGGTATGTCATGTGGGAGCTCCTAAGACGGGTAAAATCTCTTGGCTTTGGTCCATTGTTTTTGGTGGGTGATTTTAATGAAGTAATGTGGCAGCATGAGCATTTTTCTCGGCATAAGAGGTCTTCTAAGCTCATGGCAAACTTTCGCGAGATTCTTTCAGAATGCAATCTATTTGACTTGGGATTTCATGGGTTGCCATGGACCTATGATAATAAGCAGGAAGGTAATCGCAATGTGAAGGTTCGGCTTGATCGGGCGGTGGCATGTCCCCAATGGTCTGCTATGTATCCCCATTGCAAGGTCTCACATATTATATCTTCCAGGTCAGACCACTATCCTCTGTACATTCAGTTGCTGGGGACTCGACCTAATGTCTCTGTTAATAAGCATTTCAGATATGAATCATATTGGGAGCGGGAGAGTAAAGCATTGGATGATCATATCAGAAAATGCTGGAATAAAAGTAAGCAAGTAAGGGATCTTCAGGATGTGGCAAGTAATTTGGATAAATTAATGACATCCCTACATTCATGGAGCAGGGTTCACATTGGTTATCTCCCAAAGAAACTTGACACTGCCCGCAAAAGATTGAATGGTCTATTTAAAAGAAGTGATAAGGCAGCTGTTTTGGAGAGGAAGGAAACTCTTCTGGAGATGGATGAGCTCCTTATTAAGGAAGAAATCATGTGGAAGCAGAGGTCCTGTATTGACAAAATGATATTGGGGGATCGTAATACAAGTTTTTTTCAGAGAAAGGCCTCATGGAGAGCAAAGAAAAATAATATTTCTGCACTTAAGAGGAGTGATGGGTCTCTTACGGAGAATATGGAAGAAATCAAAGGTATCACTAATATGTTTTTTTTCAGAATCTGTATACTTGTGATTCTAATGTTGACCCTTCTCGTATCATTTCGATTGTCAAACCTCTCGCCAATGATGATATGAATGCGGAGCTCTGTAAACCTTTTTCGGAGGAAGAGATTAGTAATGCCCTTTTCCAAATTGGTCCGCTAAAGGCTCCTGGCCCGGATGGTTTTCTAGCTAGATTTTTTCCAGAGAAATTGGGGATTAATAAAGGAGGATATTGTAAGGGCAGTCCAACAATTCTTTATCTCAAGTGTTATGCTCGATGGTATAAATGACACCACTATTGTTCTTATTCCTAAAGTGAATAATCCCCCGTCCATCAAAGACTTTAGACCGATCAACCTCTACAATATCATCTACAAAATCATATCGAAGTGTCTGGTGAATAGGCTGAGACCTCTCTTGGATGGTATGATTTCTCCCACTCATAGTGCCTTTATTCCTGGCCGGTTAATTTCTGATAACGCGCTTATTGCTTTTGAATGTATTCACTCGCTGGGTACGTTGAAAGATAAGCGTGGAGAGTTTTGTGCTTACAAGTTGGACTTGGCAAAAGCGTACGATCGTGTGGACTGGCAATTTCTTAAAAGTATGCTTGGGGCTCTTGGTTTTGCGCCAACATGGATTAATTGGATCATGACTTGTGTTACTTCTGTGAAGTTTTCGGTGCAGTTTAATGGACAGCTATTGGAACCTTTTTACCCATCATGTGGACTCAAGCAAGGGGATCCTTTATCTCCTTATTTGTTTCTACTTGTGGCTGAGGCTCTCTCTTTGTTGTTAAAGGACGCTTGTGAGAAAGGTGTTCTTAAAGAGTTTAAGCTTACAAGACAAGGGCCTGGTATATCTCACTTGTTGTTTGCGGATGATAGCCTCCTTTTTTTCAAAGGGTCAATTGATCAAGCCTTAAATGTTAAAACTATTCTGTTGGATTATGAGAAAGGAACTAGTCAACTTCTTAGTCCGGATAAGTGCTCCATTAAATTTGGCAAAAAGTGCAGTATGGAGGATCAGGTGTCCACGATGGTTATTCTAAATATAACTGTTGAAGGTTTTGAGGATAAGTATCTTGGTCTTCCAGTGCCAGAGGGTAGAATGAAGGTTGGGAAATTCTAGTGACCAAATATAAGGCTTTAAAAAGAGCGTCAGATTGGATTGAAAAGTATGCTTCTACTGGTATTAAGGAATCTCAAATCAAGGCTGTTTTGCAAGCGCTGGCAGTTTATGCCATGGGACTTTTTAAATTTCCAGTCTCGTTATGTGAGGAGCTAGCTCAGATTATAAGAAATTTCTGGTGGGGAGACAAAGAGGATAGGAGGAAAAACCACTAGTTAGCTTGGGACAAACTAACAAAACCAAAAGGACAGGGAGGCATGGGGTTCCGTGACCTAAGGTTATTTAACCAAGCGATGTTAGCTAAACAGGCCTAGCGTTTATTGGTGTACCCAGAGTCGTTGTGTGCTAAGATTTTGAAGGCAAAGTATTATCCCAATGGTCACATCTTGGATACAGTTTTCCCGCAAGCCACGTCCGTGAATTGGCAAGGTATCATGCATGGTCTGGAACGGTTAAAACAAGGGGTCATATGGAGAGTGGTCGATGGTAAAAATGTTAACATTTGGAGAGATAACTGGCTCCCAAGAATTTCGGGACTAAAAATTACAGCTAAAAAGCATCGAACTAGACTGAAGTGGGTGTCGGAATTATTCATGAGCGGGACGAGAAGATGAGATGAAAATTTGATTAGGCATTCATTCTTTCATCATGATGCCGAAGAGATCCTAAACTTACGCGTTCAGTCTGTGGGAGAAGGTGATCTAGTTGCTTGGCACTATGAGAAAAGTGGTATGTTCTGTGTGAAAAGTGCATACAGACTGACTTTAAATCTCGAGGACAACAGGGGTGAGACAGGAATATCCAGTGCTGGTGTTAATGAGGAAAGAAAACCGTGGGACGTTATTTGGAAGGCTAAGGTTCCACAAAAAATTAGAATTTTTGCTTGGAGAGCTGCGACCAACAATTTGGTGGTTCAGGTGAATAGAGTGACTCACCATCAAACGGTCTTCAATATGTGTACTATATGTGGAGTTCAGGATGAAAATATCTTTCACGCTCTGGTGACCTACCCTAAGGCGTGTGCTTTGCGTATCGCCTTGGGGGATGTGTGGAATATTCCGAGGGAGGAGTTGTTCAGATTTACGGGCACTACTAGGAAAAGGCTAATTAGTGGCACACATGTTTTGGCCATTAATGGCGCACTACAGGTGCGCCACTATTATCACGCCACTAGTAACAAATACTAATGACGCACTATAGGTGCACCATTACTACCTGTGATAGTAATGGCGCATCTATAATGCGCCATTAGTATGCGTAGAAGTGCGACATTACTATCTGACTTAGTAATGACGCACCACATAGAAGTGCGCCATTACTAACAATTTATTTTTCAATTTTTTTAAAAAAAAATCAATTTTTTTCGTTTTTTCTTAATCTCGGGTCACTATGGCTTAATCTCGGGTCAATATGCTTAACCTCAAGTCAAATCACACTAAGTGTCAAACTTCCTGGAAGGTCACACATCCTCACACTACTCCAGCCCGAGCACGCTTAACTTCGCAGTTCTATCCAACCACAGCACCACCTCACATAACAGGCACTTGTTGATATATCTATCATATCAGTCCTATTAAACCTTGTTGATGTCTAGGACTTTGTTCATGTTCATGAGTGTGATGAAATTTTGAAAAATATTTCAAACTTCCCGGTCATATTACGTATCATATTTTGAAAAAAAACTCCAAAAAAAATTTGAAACCAATTTTTTC